ATTGTGTAAATGTACCACAATTTCTGTATCCATTCTTCCGTTGAGGGACATCTGGTTGTTTCCAGGTTCTGGCTATTTTTCTATTTTACTCTTCCAAGCTGGGCATTGAGATTAAATTGGTATAGGGTCTATCATCTCTCCAACCTCATCTTTTATACACCTTTTACTTTTTCTACTACCACATGGACCTTATTATTCCTCAGATATGATGAATATGTACCTCATCTCAGATACTATTTGTTGTTTACCTGTCTAGAATAAACTTCCATCACATGGCATGTCCTTTGGATGCCACATTTCACTCCAGCAATTGGCTCTAGTCACCCCACCTATAACAGAAGACTTTACCATCAGGTCCAGACAAGAACAGAAAACTCACCTAGGCATTTCAAGTAAAGATGGTGGGAGAAGAGTTTTAAGCACAAGGCATTGGCTATAAATGTGTGACAAAACTTGGAAGTATAAATGAAGAAAATGGTGTTATTAAAGACCAGTGCCTGCAGAAAGCTGCCATTGTCTTAAAGGCTGCTGGAAAGTAATGAGACTAAGAGTTGGGTTTATACTTCTGCTAATGCTTTCACCTTCTTTCTATCTTCTAGTGCTATATGAATGCATTAAAACAGCAAGACCTCACAGGCTTTGTGTGGCACATGCATGAAATCCTAGCACTCAGACAGTAGTGGCAGGAGGGTTATAAATTTGAGGCCAGTAAGGACTATGTAGTGAGACTCTACTTACACCTCCTCTGCCCCAAACTAGTATCTAGACAACTAGTATATATACAAGTCTCCTGGCAAGAGAGCTGGGGACATTAAATTCTAGTATGGGAATGTATTACAGGGCTGGCCTTGGTTAAGTTTCAACAGACAGTAGGCTCTATGGCTATTTTATTATTACTTTTATCTATTTTTTGTCATTTTACCCCTCTGTTTATATTTGTGCCACTTATCACTATTTGCTTATTGACCAATTCCCAGTAAGAATCTCAACTATGTGCAAACAGGAATTTATCTTCTTGCCTATCGCTGATCTGTCTGTCTTGCCTATCAGAACCCTGTCTGGCACCAGTAGCATAGTAAGTGTGGAGGGGTGCTGGGAGCAGTAAACCCCAGCACAGAGATATTTTAAAATTTATTTCAACTTTCTTTTTTTACAGATGTATAATGTATGTTGAGCATATATCTCCTGCCAGACGACTGTTTTACCACTGACATTGTTTAAAATAACCAGTACATGGTGGTTAATAAAAACAAAGTGACATTTAGTCCATTTTATTATTGTTTTCTAATTTTCTATTTCTGTTACCAGGAATATTTGTTTACAATTAAATGTCAGCTTGTTAGTAGGCAACATTTCTTTTGTTGTTGTTCTGTTTTTGAGACAGGGTCTCATGTAGCTCAGAGGAGCCTCATTCCTCCTATTGAAAAAGTGATTTCTAGTACCATGCATGTGGACTGGAAGGTATCATACATACCTAGTGGAAAGTCATAGCTTTGGGTTCCTACGTATGCTGACACTTGTACTAGATAGTTACTGTATAGGCATCTTGAAGCTGTCCAAGTCCATTATAAAAAATATTATTTCCTATGTAGAAATGAAGTTTCTAGGCAAGGGTAGCTCCTGTATTTCTTAGCAGAAGCATTATTTTCTCATACCTGAGCTGGTGCTTGCAGAATAACATTGTAGTTATAGAAGGTCTTGAGGATTGCTAAGAGCATTGTTCTACTGAGTAAGAAAGTTATGAAGGTCTGATGTTGCTGTTTCCTATTAATATATTTCTAAGAAAACTGGCTCAAGCCTTTTTATTTTTTTAATTTTACTGGCTGGCCTGGAAATAATTTCATAGACAGGCCAGCCTCAAACTTGTTTCAGTTATCCCGCCTCTATTTTCCAATGCCTGGGATTACAGACATGTGGGCTTCACACATGCAAGACAAATACTCTATCACTTAGCCATACCCTCAGCCCTAGAGAATGAGTGATTAATAATTGAAGAGAACACTCTGGTGTGTATTCTAATATGTATTATATATTTGTGTGCATATATGTGCATATATGTATGTATTCATTTTATAAAATGCAAGAGGCTAAGAATGTAGACTTAGAATCTCTTAAATAGTACTGTCTAAATTTTAAACCGTACAGTTTATTTAAGTATCTAAACCAAACATTCTGAGATATAGTTGATAACTTTATTTCCATAATTCTGTAAAGATGTCCTCATCCTTAATAGGATTATAGCTTCACGCGATATTGGGCATGTTTCCAACAGCTACACAAATATTTTGTCTGACATTATTTTTTATTCTATAGGCATGGATGTTTTGCCTGCATGTTTGTCTGTAAAGCATGTGTATGCAGTACCCGTGGAGGCTAGAAGAAAGCATTAGCTCCCCTGGAACTGGAGATATAGATAGTTGTGAGCCACTGTGTGGTTGCTGGGAACCAAACTGGGGCCTTCTGGAAGATTTTTAATGGTGACAATCTCTCCAGCACCTTATATGATATTCTTCAGGTTGACTAAAGCAGCTGCACTGTTTGTCTCTATTTTAATGCATTCACATGGTATGACATTAGACTCCTGCTATCACATTAGAGTCAAGAGGTGTACACAGAGAAATGCACATTTTAAGGGTGATGAGATACCATCTTACCCCAGTCTGAACAATACCATCAAGAAAGCAAATACCAACAACTACTGGCAAGGACGTGGGAAAGAACAACCCTTATTCAGTGTTTCTGGCATGGGAACTGGTGAAGCCATTATGGAAATTAGTGTATAGCATCCTCAAAAAACTGAAATAGAAGTATGTGACCCAGCTGTACCACTATACAGAAGCCAACACACCACAGGCATGCTTGTACAGTCGTTTTGTTGTTGTATATTCACAATAGCTAAGAAATGGAGACAACTTACTTGTCCACCAATGGATAAAGAAAATGTGGTACATGGACAAAATCAATTTTTCAGATATGTTTATCTAGGTGACAATAAGAGTAAGGCCACGAAACTATAAAGAGGCTCAGGAAAGTGGAAAAGAGAAGCTTTAACAGTAAAGCGTGAAGAACACAACAGAAGGAAGAAGTATAAAGTGGAAGAGTATATAGTAGGGAAAGAAGGACTAGAGGTTTGCTGGGAGCTGCAGCAAGTACCGAATCAACCAAAATGTAAAATGAAAACAGTACATGAGAACACACTCCTTTGTAAGCCAATTAAAAAAATGGCAGCTCAGTATCCAAGAGTGTTCCCCAATAATAGGACCAGGGACCATCTCTGACATGAACTCATGGGCTAGCTCTTTGATGACCTCCCCCTGAGGGGGAGCAGCCTTACCAGTCCACAGAGGAAGACAATTCAGCCAGTCCTGATGAGACCTGATAGGCTAGGGTAGGATGGAAGAGGAGGAGGACCTCCCCTATCAGTGGACTGGGGGAGGGGCATAGGAGAAGAGGGAAGGTGGGATTGGGAGGGGTTTGGGGAGGATACTACAGCTGGGATACAAAATGAATAAACTGTAATTAAAATTAAAAAATCTTTATAAAAAAATCCTGATATTTGAAGGAAAGTGGATGGGAGAGAGGATATTGTTAAGTGCAAAAAAAAAAAAAAAAGCCAAATCTAGAAAGAAGAATACTGAATATTTCATATGTGGAGAGTATATATGCATCTATGCATATATATGGTTGTAAAAGTAGTTAATTTTGAATATGAGTGGGAGAAGTAGCAATATAGAGATGATAAAATTTAGAAGCAAACCTCTCTACTGCTGCTAAACATGATGCCACTTAGACACAGGGTTATTAAAATCACTGACTTATCAAAATAAAAAGAATGTTTCATGTCAGCTGATAGTTTTTAAGGATGATTTGTACCTAAGAAAATCTGGAATGCAGAATTAGCTTCCTGTTATTAAAACAAAAAATCCAATTCTGTTCTTTTGCTTTGACTAACAGAATTATAAGAATCATAGAGAAAATACTGAACAACTTCATTTTTTAAGACTTAAAAAAACTAAAAATAATACTGATGAAGGATTAATTTTCAAAACAAAGAATTTTTTGTTTTGTAATTTTTAAAGTCTGGTTAGTCTTTAATAGTATAGTTCAAAGACGTTTGTAAAAATGTTGGTATGATTTGATTCTATAACTGAGTTTTTAGAATGTTCATCCTTTCACATTCGCAGCATGCCCATAGAGCTCCTGGACATTTTAACAACCTAGGCAAGAGAGTAGTCAGGAAGGTTTTCAAGAGTTCTCAGAAAAGGACTGATTATCACGTCCTTCCCAAGCCAGGCCTGAGAGGACATGTAAATCTATTGTGAATAAAATACCACTACAGATGCTTCAACTGACCCAAACAAACCCTCAAACAAAACCAAATCAAAAAAGGATCATCAAATCTCTCTGGTGCTCTTATTTATTTCTTGTTTTTCTGAGACAGGGTTTCACTGTGTAGCCTTGGTTGTCCTGGACTCACTTTGTAGACCAGGCTGGCCTCAAACTCATAGAGATCCTCCTGCCTCTGCCTCCCTGAGTGCTAGGATTACAGGTGGGCACCACTGCACCTGGCTCTCTCTGGTGATTTTAATGCACACAGAACTTTAGAAGACAGGATAGCCATGATACCTATTTAAGTCACTTACTTACTTTGATGGATGGGCTATCATTTCAGCAACAAGATACACAAATCATGTTTCAGTGTACTAAGTACTGTGCTTGCTCAGTTTGCTATCAATAGCTTGCAGCTAACATTCTTTGTTTACTTGTATCAAGAGTGGGAAAAGGACATTGGATATAATAATTCATTATAAAAATGGAGGGGAATAATTTCTTAACTTATCTTTTGTACCTGAACTATGCTAAGGCCAACTTATTTCTTTGTCAGGAAAATGTGATCCCATTGTTAAGAATCATAATCTACAATGTTCCATTTACAACAGAAAACAGACATCAGAGTTTTATCTTATAAGCTCCTTGCTTTATTTTGTCTATTTATTTACCTCATTTCCTGTTGACATGACGGCAACCACTGGAAACTTATTAACTTCAACTTCTGTGACACCTACAGTTGCAAGAAGACCAATCTCTGAAGGGCCCATATGGGTTCCTTTGGCCAAAACGCACTCTCCTCTTTTAATGTCATGGCCAATGGGTCTGAAAGTCAAAGCAGAACCATAAGCATATGGCTAAGGTTAACTTTTTCTCAACTCAGAGGGAAACTTCAGCATGAGAGAGACAATCAGGAGAGAAAAAAAAGTTCAGAAATAAGTCAGGAGTCAAATAAGCAATTCTAAAAATTCTAACTTTCAAAGTTATTTCACATTATAGAAGACAAACTAGGACTTATATCTATGATTGCTAAAAAGAAACATGTTACATTTGAAGTTCCTTTATATTTTCTTTTTATTATACTACAGGTAAAATTACCGATTTCAAACTTTCTCTGATGAAAATATCTAGCAGCGTTATCAGTGCTCCACAGCTGGTTAGCTCTGTGGTAAGGGGAATGATGTTAAAAGGTCAGTTAGAGATGATTTCCGTGTAGACGCCTTGGGTCGATCCAGATCTGAGGCCACCTTTCTTGGTTATGTATGCTAGCCTGCTGCCATGAGGCTGGGAGAATTACAGCTTTGTTCCAAAGGGAAGCTGGGCAAATTAGATTTGATGGAACACCTTCTAGTAAACACCTTCTAGTTTAAGAAAATAATTCAAACTATGCATAGTATCTATTGTAGGAGAGAAACATCTTTACATGTAAGGAACAGCAAATTATTACATTATTAAGGATGGTTGAGGAGGGTGTGCTATCATCTACTTGTATAAAACCTAATCACCTCTATTCCAATTTCTGGATAAACTATGAGTTGGGACTGAGTAATTGTGAATTGGCTAAAGGTAGAATTAACCATGGGTATATAACTTTACCTATAACTTTATAACATTACCTTTTTAAAAATAGTTGAAATATGTTTATTCTTTTTTATATTAATTACAGTTTATTTTCCTTATATCCCAGCTGTGGCCCCATTCCTCATTCCCTCCCAATCGTACCCTCCCTCCCTCATCTGTAACATTACCTTTTTTTCATCTTGATTTTGACAATTTTATTCATCTTTATTATTTTCATTTAAAAGGCAGTTTAGACATGGGATGTAAAATTGAGAAAATTCATTTTGCTTCTTGTTAAATCTTGAGAAAAAATGGGTAGTTGGCAGTGCTGTAGGTTTCTAATAGCATGTTCTCCTGAGTTCATGTTCATGCAGAAACACAAGAGGGTTATTTATTCTGTATATTTGAACTTACCGGATATCTTGGCCTGGCCGAGCTTGCACCAGAATTCGCACTTCAAGTTCTTCAGTACCCTGTAAGCAGAGCAGGTCATATAATTTCACATAATATAATCTAATGGAATTTCTGATCAATAGGAATGAGCTTCTCCGACACTTTATCATCAGATAGGCCCAGAATATACACAAATACAGAAGAGCAGAGAACCATTTGCTATACCTCTTTGAAAAAAAATAGTGTGAATTTCTAAAGAGAGCTCCTGAACAATTAGGTTTGGTGTCAATAAATAACTAAATACTTCCTCTAATTTTCATGGTGTAAAAACATCATTTAAATTGCTAAACTGTATCTTGATGTAGGATTCTCAAAGGAATATTATATATACATGATATTCATACATACAAACACATGTAATAAAGGAAGGTGCATACCAACGTCTCTCTTTTGGTTGCTGTGAATGGAGTTCAATATCATGTCAAGGCTCTCAAATTCCTACTGAAAGCTCAGCGGAGACTTACAGCTTGGCTGTGGAGTTCTGTAACTGTATGGCAACCATCAGTTTTACATTCATGGGCTTTGAATAATGTTGTGTCTTGTCATTGCATGGTTTTAGGAAGTGTATGTTCTGGATTTCAATGCTTTGTAGGCTTCGCTGATGCTAATAAATCTCTGCTTGGACAATTTTAAGAGCAAGCAATGTGATCTGTTTGTCAAAAGTTGAATTTTATAAATAAGGGAAGATGATTAAAAAGAAAATCTCCACACCATGAAAGATGGTCATCTCTTAGAATGGTTGTATTTTAGTATTTACTTATTTTTAATCTCTGCTTCAGAATATAAGATTCCTTAAATTTCACAAAACAGGTATAATTATCAGTCTATAAAACTGTAAAAAAATTGTAACTTTTCCAGTTTTATTCCTAGTAGTCTGCTTTTTAAAAAGATTTATTTTATGTGTAGGAATGGTTGGCCTGCCTACATGAAAGCATGCATGTATGTGTACCGCATGTGGGCCTGGTGCTCAGGAAGCTCAGAAGAGAGTGTTGGATGTCCTGGAACTGGAGTTACAAACAACTATGAATCACAACCTGTGTGCTGGGAACTAAACTTGGGCCCTATGCAAGAACAAGAAGTACTTTTAACTACTGAGCCATCTTCAGCCTGTGCATTATTATTATTATTATTATTATTATTATTTTGGTCAATTTCACTTTGTGGGGAAATAGAACATCAACTGAGAAAATGCTTCGTCTGTAGGCAATTCTGTATGGCATTAATGATTGATGTGGGAGGGCCCAGATTACTTTGGGTGGTGACACCCTGGGCATGTGAAGGAAGCATGCTGCGCAAACCCTGGGAATGAGGCCAGTGAGCAGCATCCCTCTGTGGCCTGTGCTTCAGTTCCTGCCCTGACAGAGAAGCCTGTGACCTGAAAGTTGAAATAAACTCTTTTCTCTGCATGTTGCTTATTCATGGTGTTTATCATAGCAATAGAAACATAACCAGGACATGCCCCAGTAGTCTGGTTTTAATAATTACTATTAGTTTCATTGAGAAAACGGTCTATTTAGAGCCCATAAGTGTCCTTTATTTGAGACAGTGCAGCGGGATTGTCTCAACACTGACACAAATTTAACATTTCAAGGCTTCCATATTATGGCACAGCTTTTTCTTCAACAGAAAACCAGTGGTGAAAGGGTCATTTGGTTTAAGAAGTTGCCCAAATGTTCTCTGTTAAAGTCCTTTATATTAAATTCTGATTTCAAGAACACCTTCACACTTTATCAGGAATTAGTCTCAATGTTCTTTTATTGTGAAGTAATTTCTTTGTTTGCTTGTGAAAATTCTCATGTTAAGCATGGTCCAAATTCTACAGTAATAATAGCATAAAAGTTCCTCCAATGTCAAAGGATTTTCAATCTTTAAGTTTATCTGCTAGAGATCCTCAAACCAAAATAACAATATTAACAACACCCCCTGAAAACCCAGGTTAATGTTATAAACACTGTGGAAACGGAGTCTGACTTCAAATACTGGTAATGACGTACATCATCTGATTCCCTGATGAGTTCAGTATCTTCAACTTGTACTACTGCATCAGCACCGCAGGGGATTGGAGCACCTGTTGTAACCCGCATCACTTGTCCTGGCATTACTGTTTGAGTTGGCTGGAAGTGCAAACAAAAAAGACACTTGGTCACTTAGTTGCTGCAAAACAACATCTCCAGTGGATGTATCGTTTTTTAAGAAATAATGAAAATGTTTATAGTTTCCTCACTTAGGACCAGTGTAAGCTACCCAGACAGAGCTGTATTCACACCAAAGAGTCTGCAACTTGATTTAAGCTATTTGTTCTTTAAGGCCTGTACTTTACTTGGAGTCCTGTTTTGAAGAACTGCCACTCACATTTGCCACTATTGCTTCGCATTCAAATAAACATAAATTGTGTTACTGTAAAGTGATTTGAGAATCTGTCAGAAAAATTTCTAAGTCCTAAGAGAGTATGAATGATAAATATGAAAACCCATCATTTTGATAGTTTGCTGGAATTCTGTTTGACAAATGTAGTACATCATTACAGAAAGTATTTGGTCAAATAAAGGTGATCCAGAAAAGCCATTTAAATTATTTCTCTTGGAAAATTTCCTAATATTTCATAGTATTCACTTATAAATTTCATAGTATTAAACTTATCAGTTAATAAATATTTAAAATGTAGACTTAAACCATTTAAAAACATCTAAGTGTGTGTAACAATCTGGATTAAGCATGAAAAAAGCATGTATCTACCTTGATCCATTTGATAGGTTCGAATAGGCTTCATGATCACCTGTCAGAGGTCGTGATTTAGGACAGAATAGAAACAAGAATGCTCCAAATTATCCCTAAATGAAAATCCTGATACAACAGTAAAAGATGTTTAAAAATTTTTATGTATATGAGTGTTTTGCCTGTATGTATGCATGTTCGGCACAAATGGTCTGTTGTCCCCGAAGGTCAGAAGAGGGCACCCGATGCTCTAGAACTAGAATTATAGTTGTTTGCAAGCTTCCCTGTGGTGCAGGGGCCTGAAGAGCACGTGCTCTTAAATGCTACCGTCTCTGTAGTCCCATGTTGTGTGACACACACCTTACACACCTACACTCTCGCACACACCTTAGGCAATGTTTTAGGAAAACACTGTGTGTTAAGATCTAGCACATCTTACATGCTTTAAACCACTTTACTCTGCTAATTTCAGTAAAAGACCTTCTAGTATTGTTCAGAATTATTACATATTCATATACATTTCTACAAAAATAATGCATGGGATTTAAAATGAAAAGTTAGGGTCATTGTTTTTTGTTTTTTTAATTGCACTCTACAATTCCAGACATCACTTACTATCTGGGACATATTTACAAAAATATTTTTATACTTCTTTGAGAATTTTGTATAATGTCTTTTGATCGTAGTCCTCCTCCTTCCCAGCTCTTCCCACATCCTTGCTCACCTTCCTACCCATCTAACTTGATTTCACCCTCCCCCATTAGACACAGTTTGTGTTACCTGACTGCTCTTGGGTATGGAATCTGCCCTGAAGTCTGGTTGATATATTAGGTATCTCACCACTTAAGAAAACTGATTTACTCCTCTTCTTCCAGCAACACTCAAGTGCCAACAGCTCCTTAGCTAGGGGTGGGGCTTCATGCCCATCCCCCCCTTCCTTGCATGTTGGAATTTCTGTTTGGCTTGATCTTTTGCAGGTTTTTTTTTTTTTAATGCTGTCACACTGCTGTAAGTTCATATGTACATCTCATGAATTCTAAATGGTAGGCAGAAGATTCCTATCACATCATATTGAACCCAAAGTTAAAGATATTAATGGGGCTGAGAGATGGCTCAGCCATTAAAGGCTAGGCTCACAAACAAAAATAAATATTAATAGACATGTAAAAACTTATATGTCTATTTAGATCAAACAATACAACTGACATGTGAAGGACTCAACTACAAAGGTACATCCTAGTAATATGTGGCCTACTTCTTTTAGTCTGTAAGGTGAGCAGGTATTCTCTCTTAGACTGAATTTTCCTATGTGCTTCATGTATATAAGTGTGTGTGTGTGTGTGTGTATGTTTGTATGTGTGTATGTATGTATATGTGTGTGTATGTATACACAGTTAAAATCTTGGCCTTTTATTATTGGAGGTACTGAGTCTCATTCTTTGGAAATCTAATGACAACATTTCATAATTACACAGTATTTTCTTTGAAGACATCCACTGCTAATTACTGGGACCAAACCATTAGTGATTTAAGGTCACACATTTTAAAGCACGAAGAAATGATTTTTTAAATCACTTTCCTGTGTATACAATGGCACCTCAGTGCTCAAGTGTAAGCTGTGAGTGAATAATGTAGCTCTTACAAGATAGCTGAGATTGCTCTAAGTATGTGTAACACATATTGTAGATAAAGAAAACTACAGGTAATCTGAAGAAAAAGCTGCCTTCTTGAACTATTTCAATCTTATCTCATAAAGCCTTTATAAGAACTTAGAAACTTTTAAGTTTCACAGTTGTTTTTATACTCCCAGTTCTCTAGTTAGAACTAACAAATAGTGTGTATGAAGTTTAGAGACCCTTATCTGCTATGGTGAGGCTAACATAAACCACCTGCAGTTCTCTGAGTAGTTCATATAACTTCCTGTCCTTTAAAAAATTAACCAATAGGCTGGGGTCAGATAGTAGGCGAAGAGGACTTCCCCTATCAGCGGACTAGGGAAGAGGGATAGGGGAGGAAGCAGAGGGGAGGGTGTGATCAGGAGGAGATGAGGGAGGGAGCTACAACTGGGATACAAAGTGAATAAATAATAATGATAATAAAAGAGAAAAATTTATTATATAATAAAATTTATATACATTACTTACATTGTTAGTATTTATATATTGAATAAATAAAATTTAAAATTAAAAATATACATGATTGCTCTGTCTACACACACACACACACACACACACACAAAGAGGGAATCAGATTCCATAACAAATGGTTGTGAGCCACCATGTAGTTGCTGGGAATATGAACCCAGGACCTCTGGAAGAGTGTCAGTGCTCTTAACTGCAGAGCCACCTCTCCAGACTCCTTGTTTTGTTCTTTTAAGGCAGGGTTTCACCATATATTTAGTCATGGCTGGGCTGGAATTTGCTATGTGACCCAGGCTGACCTTGAACTTGCAGTGATCCTCCATGGTTTCTGCTAAATGAGTGCTAGAACTATAGGCGTAAGGTGCCAGGCACCTCTGGAATTTTGACCTACACTGCTCTGTGACTAGAATGCTCCAGTGTTATCCTTCTAAGCATCTTCTGTTGAAACGTTCAGTTCTCTTCTGCATTCCAGAGTGTTTGATGGGAACACCATTAGCTCAATAACTAATATATTGTATAATATTTAGTTGTTTATGCTTCCTCCTCTACTGACTTTTGCAAAGAAGAAATTGTGTCTTAATGTAAGTTATATGCCAGAATAAAGCACTTGCTAATTATGTCAGTGTGCTGGATAAGGAATGCTGAGTAGACTCAATTGAAGATCAGACATTTCTTGTGGCTTTACTATAAAACGGATGTTTTGTATGTTCATATCTGATAGATATATGTGTTATCAAATAAAGTCAAAAAAGAATCAAAGGAAAATGGCTCAATGGGTAAAGTGCTTAATGTGCAAGTGTGAGGAGCTGAGTCTGAACCCCCAGAACCATATAAAAGCAAGCACAGCAGCCTGTGCCTGGGGTTCCAGTGTTCCACGCTGAGATGCAACATGAATACCAGAGAACTCCATGCTAGCAAGGACAGCCAGCATGTACACGTAGAAGACTACTTGTTTTGTCCCTAAATATTATATGAAATAAACTAGTGATAAGTAATTTTTAAAAAAGTATCAGTTTTGGTAAAACCTATCTCCATGTCTTCTTTTCCCCCTTGGCTTCTCATGTACTTTTATAAGTACTTAAAATGGACAGGGGTTAAGGTAATATGTAGAAGGAGGATGCCAACATTAGTGACTCTAGCTTCCTTATTTAAACATCCAAGCATTAAGGTATATGTAGTTCTAGCCAGAAAATCAAACTTTGTAGGAAGAGGAATCAGTCAGAGGGCTGGTGAATGCTTATGAGGCTTATCTGTGGGGGATGTAACACAATTATTTATTACGGCACATATTGATAGATGTAGGTTCATTAAGTAATGGTTTTTCATTGCTGTTCACATGGGGACCTTTCTTTGATCCCTTGATGGTCTTTTGACTAATCCTTCTCTAAGACTTCCACATGCTGATATTAGAAACTTAGAATTGGATGCCCAAAGGCTGTGAAGCAGAAATCTTCAGTGTCTTTCAGGGTTATCAATCTCACCTGTTCACCAGCTTGGGATTCCCCAATGATGAAACGATCTCCTGGACCATCAGCAGCTGTGAGATGGAACAGAGCCAAGAATAAATATCAACATGGACTTAAAGCAAGAGATAAGAACCAAGCATTGGCAGAAGTGGATTGATTTGTGCCCTTTCTTGACATGGTTGGAGACGGTCTTCGTGCCATCATTGCCACACGTAATGCTTTTCTCACATGATGTTCATTTGGCTTATCCCTTCAAATGACGTGGCCATATCCATGTACTTATAATAATACATGCACGCTCATGGATGTATGAATATATCTGTTTGCATACCCAAACTTCTCCAATATTTTTGAAGCACTTTTTGATATCTTAACGTTTTCTTTAAATAAGGAAAATGGGAAAATCCATGGATCCACGCTGGGCTTGACTTTGAGGCGGTTCTACATCTGCTTTCCTGGGATTACAGACGTGCACTTAAAATTACTTAAAAATTTTTAACATATACGTGCACTTGTGTGTGAAAATGCAAGCAAGCACCAATCTGTCATGGTACACATGTGAATGTCAGAGGGCAACCTTGCCTGCTCCCTTATTTAAGACAAGATCGCTGTCATTTTCTGGCTGTATATGGTGGAATAGCTGGTCCACAAGTTTCTGATTTTTTTCTCCCATCACCCTGAGGAAGCTTTGGGATTTTTATAGACTCTCATGCTTGGTTTCTGAAGATTTCAGCTCATGTCCTCGAGATTACTTTGCAGGCACTTTCACCTACTGAACTTTCTCCCCAGCTCTTAAAGACACTTATTTTTAAACTGGAAAAAAAAAACCCCACCAGAATTAGGATTAAAACAAACAAGCAAACAAACTTCTTGTTTAGTCTCATCCATTCCTTCTCCAGTACCTGACACATATACTAAGGTACTAACTGGGGAAAAAAAAGAATTTCTAAATACCATGTTTTCCTGATATAGTATTTGGGTTTCAAATCAATACTACTGGCAATGCAAGGACTACCTAATGATTTTTATGAACACTACTGTTACTTCGATGTCACTGATACAGCAAGGGGTTTGAGGCTCATATATGGGGATGATAACACCTTACATATGAGTATTTAATTATATTTACAATAACAGTGACAAGTATAAAACATTTTCTATTTTAAAGGAGACATGAACTAACTCATTGTAGTCTTTTCTTCCTTCTCTTCATTTTGCCCATCATTTACAGGAGCTCACTTTGTAGAACAAGCTGGCCTTAGTTCATCATGTAGCCTACACAGTTCTTGAAACTGCAGTGTTCCTGTCTCCAACTTCAGAGTCTTAGAATTATAGTCATGTACTATCATGCATGGTTGTTTCTTTAAGTGCAAGGCAGTATTTTTTTAAAGGCTTAAATAAAATATTGTTTATGAGTTACTTTTTTCTCACAGTTGACTTTTGTTACTTTGATGTAGATAGGAACAAAAATTGAAACAGTGTCCCTTTTATTACTATATGCTGTATCATGACCTTTATAAATATTATCTCAGTGAATAAATTCTTGGAGTTTTGTATTTTTTGGAAGCCGATATTGAACTAGAAAGTTTTCCTGAAATGCTATCTTTATAATGTTACATTTACATGTTCATTAAAAAAGCCTCTTCAATTTAAAACACAAAATCATTATTTCAAGAATTAACATTTTACACATCTTGTTTAATGTATTAAACAACTTATTTTTGAAGTAGTTTAAAGCAAATTACTTTTTATTGAAAATTAATGAATCAATTATTTTATAATTTCATACTGAAAAATGTGAACAAGTTTCTGTTTAATTTTACTTATTTCTATTTCTCTACTAGAAAAGTAATATAAAGATCTTGTTTCCTCTTAGAGCCATCTAGACTTCTCACTCTTCTCCCCTGCCCTTTATTTTAAACTTCCTGCACAAGAGTGAGTCAGCATGGCTGCAAACAGTAGAGGAGAGCTGAATCTGAATCATGACTCTGTCTATTATTAGATTCAGGGCTTTCAGCAAAGCCTCTCACCTTGCTAGTAAAAATAATGATGACATATACAAACCTTTTAAAGCTATTCATTTCTTTTATTCTTTCAGTAAATTTCTACCAAGCGTCTCCTATTCCCTAAGTGTTAAATTAAGTGCTGAGGACAGTGTAAACAGTAAAATGAGATTATTTTTATTCTAATGTTGTGCCAGACTGTTTCAAGTTTTTTTTTTTTTTTCAAACTCTGGATCCAAAATTTCAATGGGATATAACATCAACTTGTAAACATTTTTTTCTGATGAAAAAGAATACAAATATTTCATAGGTCAAGCACAGCTGTATGTGACTGCAATCCCAGCTGCAGCAGAGTCTTAAGTAGTATGGCCATTTGTGCATCACAGCTCACGACCAGTCTAGGTAACTATTAACATTGAATGGTAGGCACAGGACAATAGCATTTACATATATATGAAAATCCAGTCAGGGTAGAGGGAGGTGAGAAGAGACAGTAACAAGGCTGTGATAAAAGACTTCACATGGCAATTATACTGGGTGATCAAATCACAGATACAATTGTTTGTAATTTTAAAAAATCTGTAGACCTTTCCAATGAAAAGCAGGAAGCATAGGATAAGGATTGTTAAGTAGAATATAATTTGTATTTTTTTTTCCAGGCGGTGGTAGAAAATGCCCATTATTGTTACTATTGGGAAAGGAAATATTTCTCTAAATCATGGTAACTTTTCTTCACTTTTTAAAACATTTATTATTATTATTTTTTTATAAATTATACTTTATTCACTTTGTATCCCAGCTGAAGCCCTCTCCCTCATCCCCTCCCAATCCCATCCTCCATCCCTTATCTCCTCCCATGCCCCTCTCCAAGTCCACTGATAGGAGAGATCCTCCTCCCCTTCTTTCTGACCCTAGCCTACCAGGTCTCATCAGGACTGGCTGCATTGTCCTCCTCTGTGGCCCGGTATTAAGGCTGCTCACCCATCACGGGAAGGTGATTAAAGATCCAGCCACTGAGTTCATGTCAGAGGTATTTTCTGTTCCCATTACTAGGGAATCCATTTGGAGACTGAGCAACCATAGGATACATCTGTGAGGCATTCTCCATGCATGGTCCTTGGTTGGAGTATCAGTCTCAGAAAAGACCCCTGTGCCCAGAATTTTTTGGTTCTGTTGCTCTCCTTGTGGAGCTCCTGTCCCCTCCAGGTCTTCCTATGTTTCCCTTCTTTCATAAGATTCCCTGCACTCTGCCCAAAGTTTGGCTATGAGTCTCAGCATCTCCTTAGATACTTTGCTGGGTAAAATCTTTCAACAACCTTCTGTGGTAGGCTCCTGTCCTGTTGCTTGTTTTCTCCCTCTTCTGATGTCCATTACCTTTGCCTTTTTTGCATGAGGATTGATCATCTTACCCAGAGTTCTCCTCCTTGCTTAGCTTCTTTAGGCAGACAAACACTTAAAGAAATGCTCAACATCCCTAGTCATCAAGGAAATGCAAATCAAAACGAGATTTCACCTTACACCCTTTAGAATGGCTAAGATAAAAAACTCAAGTGAGAACACATGCTGGAGAGGATGTGGAGAAAGGGGAACCCTCCTCCATTGCTGGTGGGAATATAAACTTGTACAACCACTTTGGAAATCAATCTAGTGCTTTCTCAGACAATTAGGAATGGTTAAGATCCAGCGATACCACTCCTAGGCATACATTCAAAACTTGCTCAGGTATACAACATTTGCTCAACCATGTTCGTAGCAGCTTTATTTGTTTTAGCCAGAATCTGTAAACAACCCAGATGTCCCTCAACTGAGGAATGGATACAGAAATTGTGGTACATTTACACAATTGAATACCATTCAGCAATTAAAAACAAGGAAATCATGAAATTTGCAGGCAAATGGTAGGAACTAGAAAAGATCATCCTGAGTGAGTTATCCCAAAAGCAGAAAGATACGCATGGTATATACTCACATATAAGTGGATATTAGACATACAATATAGGACAAACATACTAAAATATGTTAACTGTTTTTGAATTAACTAAAATCAACTGTTCCATTTATGCATCAGTTCACTGAAGTACTATCTCCCATATCTTACAGTCTTCCTTCTTTATTTAAAATAGCTTACAGTACATAGCAATAATAGACTACTAATGAGCTGAATAAGCAAGCTATGGCCATAAAAGATTCACATATATAAAATGGCAACCCAGAAATGCCAATGATTGAAGCAACAAAGAACCAATTCTAAATCAAAATGGCTGTGGATGTTGAATTTGTATACTTTAACACACCGAATATGGTTTGATTCATACTAATAAGGACCAGGCAGGAAGGTAATGAATAATTTTATAACGTTATTTTAAATTTTCTATACTTTCTATTTATATCTTTAATTTGTATGTAAGTAAGAAAGCGCTTTAAAAATTAACTTGGTAAATTCACTCAGTGGTGGGTTTCTTTTGACATGTTCTTTCAAAGCTGGTATGTAGGATTCTTAAAATACTTTATGGTTTAAAATACTTTCTGTTTTTACACAATTCCAAAACAAGATCCAAGGTGATAAGCAACCCAGCTTTATTTTATTTTAGAACATTAAACTTGAGATTCTGAGTTATTAATATTATTTTAACATGTAAGAAGGATTTGTGCAGTACCTCTACATTAAAGTCATGAATAAGAGAATGCTTAGCTTAATTAGGGAATGAGGAAATATAAACTTTTAAATACACTGGGGGCTGGAGAGATTACTCAGTTACTCAGCGCTCTAGCTTCTCCTTCATTGCACCTGGATTTAATCTCCAGCTCTCAGGCAGCAGCTCAGAGCCCTCTTGTGTCTTTAGTCCCAGAGTACCCAATGCCCTCTTCAGGTCTTCTCCATCACACACATTGTGCATACACATACACAGGCAAAACACCCATACATATAAAAATAAGTAAATTAGAGGCGGGGCAAGATGGCAGCGCCGGGAGGACTCTCATTCTGAGGAGCAGCACAGCAGGATTGGCACAGTGACCAGCAATCAGAACTCGCGGCCATAAAACACAAGTGGTTGTGTTTCTCAGGT